TTCAGTTTTGATGTAGATGTATTATTGGACCAGTATGAATTAGAAGTCTACAATGATGTCAGAATATCTCAGTGTGCGTCACTGAGACTTCTTAACCACCTTCTGTTCCAGGGCATGATAATGGCCCTTCACATCTTGTGCCTTAGCCCATAAACCCTACATCAAAGTGCAGTACAGCATATGTTTTCAAAATCACTACCAAGAAAGGAGTGCTCAACAAAGAAGCGTGGTTAGATGTCCAACTAATTTTGGGCCTTACCTCAGCTTTAACTATTAGCCAGAAGCCATACGATTACTGAGTGATTTTAAATCAAAGATACCAGGCATCTGCTAGGGAAGAAAAAAATAATACAAACAAACAGAAAATCAAGCCAAGAGATTGTACTGCTACTACCAAGCAACCTGGAAGGAAGGATTTGTTAATTTTAAAATGTAACTATAGTCTGATCAAATCAAGCTTCACTGTTCAAGATTTTCCGAAGACTGTGCTGTGTGCATTAAGTATATCAATTATCCAGCAAGAAAGGAAATGAAAGTGCATTTCGTTTATGTTAATAAGCCAAAACACAGTGGTAGTGCATTGAAATTTACTTTTTATTACTTGTATTACTTTCAGATTCCAAGATTCCACAGCAGATTGTGCTTTACTTTGACTGTATCTGACACACAGTGGGTGGCATCTTGTCTGCTTATTGAGGAAAATGCGTCTGTCTTCAGATGGAGAGAAAGAAGAGCAATACAGGTCAGCTATAGACAGTTTAAACTGCTCAGAGAAAGTTCAACATTCTCACAACTAAGGCCGCATCTCAGCTTTGCAGCTTTTTTCTTCACTCTGTGAATGAAGAAATCTTTCCTAGTGCCTGCAAACAGAGTCATAGAAGTTTATGCAGAGAAAATAAAAGCATTCTCTGCCACAAACTGGATTTTTACATTCTGTTCCTCCATCTGAAATTCTGGGCAAGCGCAGAAGACTGTGACTCTTGCCATTACTGTGCGGGGCTTTGAGAGAGGACAGCCAGGTCCTTACAGCAGTTGCTCAGGTGTAAACCTGAGCTGTGAGGTCAGATCCATTGAGGTGGTGTGAACTGGAATGGTGCTGCTCTCCACTCATCTGGATTTTAAATTACAAGGGCACTATGATCAGGCCTGATGAAGGAAGGTGCAGTCAAAGATGACTTTGCAGTCTGAACTGAGGATCTGGTTGAACACAACAGCAAATGGCTGTAATGGAACAGTCTAAAAGTCTGTCTGTGCCAAAATCCTGATTGTGATCTGCTAACAAGGTGCGGTGAGAGAAGCATAGAAGGTCAGGCAGGCATCTGTGCTTACCCTAAGTACACCCATCCATCATGCAATTGCCAAGCAGAGCAATGAGGCTAAGTTCAGGAGAAATATTCTTTACTTCTGTAGGAAAAATTGCTTAAAATTTTCAGAAAAGCTCTCTGGGCCTTTTACAATTTCAAACAAAACATTTTATTCCAAAACTCTGAGTTATTTCTGAAGTATTCTAGAGGGAAAAAAGAAGCACTTCATACCAGAAATAGTACATCTTGCTGAGACATTTAAAATAGCAAGTATTACATCAGGATATAAGCAGAATCAGAATGGCTGAAGGAGCTGACCAGAGCAGAAATGTGAGAAAATTTGTATAGGATACAACTATTTACAGGTAAAAATCTGGCAAATAAATTATTTAAAGTCTACTGCCTGGATGTTTCCCATAGCTTTTAAAATATTTCTTATCAGCTTTAACACAATAAAGACTATACAAGACAAAAAAGATCTAACTTTGTTCATAAAGGCAGTATCACAGAATCCTTTCATTTCAATTGACAAAAAATAGATATGCAGAGATGGGAGGTTAAAAAAGTTCAACAATGTATCTTTCAAAAGTGACAGCAAATGACTGCATTAATTCAAAAGCATTCTGCAATCAGTCCAACACACCACATCTTTCCAATGTCCTAGTAATTTTCATGACATAAACCTTCTGGTTTAGTTTAAGGTAAAGTTTAAAAAGTTTGGAATAAGTGATCTGTGGTAGTTTTAAAAAATATTTTTTAAATTAATACCAACTTAGTCTTTTCCCTTTTGAAAAAAAAAAGACCACAATTGAAGCTGGGATTTTTTCCCTGCTGGTACCCTAGCACATATGAAATTTATAGCATGAATATACAGTATGTTCATTGGAACTTATTGTCTTAGGTGCTGAAGTGAAAGGCACTCATCAAAGTACGGATAGGTAACTTTTTTTCCCTGTAATGACTACTCCAGAATCAGAAGTACAGTAGAATTGAGGGCAGGGAATTGCATCTTATAACTTGCTTCGTATACTCTTGGACAGGGCCATGTGTTCTGAAAACAACAGTTCCAGGGGTGTTTGCCTTAGGAGATTAGAAGAATCTGTGCACTAAGGAGCTACATTTGCATTTCTGATTATCACCTGCTGAGTCCAGGCCACAGAGCGGTTTCTGTTTCCAAGACAGCTGAAAGTAAAATGAAAATGTGGAAGCATGCTCCTCCCCAGAATAGGCAGGTAAATCAATCAGTAATGCAATTTTTTTTTTAATGGATTTAACAATGACGTAATATTTTTTTATGAGACCGTGTCACATTGTTGATGAATCTAGGTGCTTGTTTCTGCACATGGAAGCAGCTTGTGTTCATAATCAGAAATATGGAATCAAAATGTTTTTGAACTGAAGTAGTACATGGCATTCACAATCGTGCAGTCACTGGCTGTAGTAGCTCACTTTTGAAAGGACTCTGCCATTATGTTTGTCTGAATATTACTAACTCTCACTATAGAAGATCCAACTGCTGTCTGGTCAGTTTAATCACTGTTCCCCAAAGACTAATTCCATGAAAATAGTATTGATAGTGTAGATATTCCAAATGGAATATTAAAATACCTACCTGAAGGTGGATATACGTTGAGTATTCTCTGTTCTTGTGACAGGCCTTCCAAATTGATGGGTGAAATGATCAATTGCTATCTTGTACTAGTCCAACAGAGCTAGTCTCTACCTCTGGCTGAGAATGGGTCTGATCCAGCTGGCAGGGCCAGGCACTCAGCCCTCATAAAAATGTTAAGGAAGCTGATGCAAAGTAGCTTCTACCTTGAGTCTTCATGTCTGCAAGAGACATAGAGTGCCATACCACAGTATGTTTGCTTACTGGGTGCGGATGAACTGAGCATGGCCAAGCTTCATCTGTGATCTGACCCTTTTTAGCAGCAAGTGTGACAGAAGAATGGTTTAGTGCTTCACTGTAGCAAGAGTCTGCATGATGTTCCTGGTACGAGTTTGCACTTCCTTAAGTACAGTGTGGAGAGTATGCACCTAAGCTGCAGGAACACAGTGGCCAGACATAAACTAGCCATGTCCTGGATGTGGCTGAACTGCAAATGATATGAAGTTCAGATATAAGTCTCTCCACAGAGCACAGAGATGTTCTTAAGACCTGTTGCAGGTGTTAGCGGTTGGCCTTCAATTCAGTACCTGAAGGGCATGAAGTAGCCTGAAGGCAGGATACACCTTTTTTTTTTAAGTGTAGATGCAAGCTTAGCACAGCAAGTGCTAGAAGGAAAGTCATTCTAGCCATGTAAGGGAGAGGTAAGTATGGATAGCAGTACAGTGTTTAGTGTAATACCTAAAGAGTCAATTGGATGGCGCCAGGTTTCTTTTTTCCAGTGATGCCCAGTGACAGGACAAGGTACAATGGTCACGGAGAGTTCCATATAAACATGAGAAAAAACTTCATTGCTTTGAGGGTGACAGAACACTGGAACAGGTTACCCAGAGAGATTGTGGAGTCTCCTTCTTTGGAGATTTCAAAACCCACCTGAATGATTTCCTTTGCAACCTACTATAGGGAACCTGTCTTAGCAGGGGGTTGGACTAGATGATCTCCAGAGATCCAACCCCTACAATTCTGTGATGATAAATATGGACAGATTCATGGAATCATAAAATGGTTGAGGCTGGAAGGGACCTATGGGTCCGTCTGCTCTAACCTCTTCTCAAGAAGGATCAACCAGCACCATGTCCAGGAGACTTTTGGAGATCTCCAAGGAGATTTCACACCTCTATGAACAACTTGTGCCAGTGCTCAGCCACACATGCAGCGAAGAAGTGCTTCCTGATGTTCAGACCAAACAGTACTGGGGTTAGGTAAAGAATGAGGTGGTGTAAAAATTTAGTACAATCTTAGGTTTTAGAAAGCAAAAAATATGAAGATCATTAACTTGACTTGATCTTCAAAAGAAGTTCAGACTAAACCATTTCCTATTTAGGTTCATGAAATAGTGAGAGAAACTGATACAAAGAGATTTTATGTAACACACAAGGGCAAATGCCCATGTTTATCATCGGTTACGGATAGCAGTAAAGCCAATGGCATTAGCCTTTAATCACTATAAATGCAATATGAAGAGGCTTCTTCTTGCAATTCACCCAACTAAACCAAAAACTGATAAATTGCATGTCAGGGTGGTAGAGGCAGATGTAATCTGCTTCATTTTAGCTTAGGTGGAAGTTTTAGGAATTTGCTCTTAGAAGAAAAAAACTGAACCATTTGACACATAGCCAATTGCCATTTGAGATCTCCAACTAGTATCTTAAAATATAACTTTATCTATAAAACTACATTCTTTTTCAGTCATAAAAGTTCCCTGACATTTTATGCTTGGTCTCCTTCCCTATTTTCTTTAGATAAGGGTACGTTTCGTAGTTGCTGTCTTTTTCTATACATTAATTTTCCTATACATATATATAAATTTCCCATCCATTTCCAGCAGTATAATTGTAACAGACCTTGTGACCTGTACTGGTATGAATGTGAGACAAGAAGTTTCAAGTGAAAGAGTTGTCTTTCTGAAGGTGCATCAGCCACAACAAGGGTAGGGTAGGGAAAATAGGGAGAAAACATGCACTTCTCACTCAATTTACTGTGTACACAACAACATGTCAACAAAATTGTGACTGTGTGACTTTGAGACATCATAGCTCAGTTTGCTTGCATTCTTCCACAAGAATTTGGTTTTGCATTGTCATAGCAGGAAGGTAATCGTTGACTGGGTCTTGGATGCTTGTAAGAATCTGACCTAACCCTCGGCTGATTCTCTGCCCGTAAGAGCCGCTGCTGTTTTTGACTGAGATTGTCTGACCTCTGTAGACTTGAGCCCGATGCTCACATATACCAAACTTGCTCAGCAGGATAAATACATCTCTTCGGAAAGCTTTGGTGAAAATAGCGTATAGAAATGGATTGGCACAAGAATTGAGTGGGTAGAAAAGTACCAGCAAAATCTTGGAATTAGTGACTGTTATCAATGGTTTGTTCATGATAGCAGATAGGGCATGGAATGAGATAGGAGCCATACACAGAAAATCAGTGAAAATCAACACAGCCATCCTCTTGGCAATTTTGGTGTCTTTGTCTCCTGACTTGTACTGAGGGTTTCGCACAGTGATATAGATTTTTATGTAGCAGGCACAAATGATGACAAAAGCAATAATGTTACATATTAAAACAAAGACAACATAGGCTTCAGCCACTGGCGTTTCAGTGTCCATAGGTAAGCAGATGCTGACTTTGCTGTAGCTGCTGACTCCAACCAGTGGCAAAAGGGCTAGAAGAAAGCATGAAAGCCAACCTCCCAGCATGATAACCAAAGCATGACGGAGGCGAATCTTTCTATTGGGACGCATGGCAAAGGTGATGGCATACCAGCGCTCCAGGGTGATCACAGTGAGTGTGTATACAGAAAGCTCACTAGCAAAGACTGTGAAGAAACCTGCTGTGTTGCAACCAGGCCCTGTCTGCCACTCTATAGCATGATTATAGTACTCTGATCTGGTGTAGAGGTCCACTGAAGCAATCAGGAGAAGGTATAACCCCATACAAAAATCAGCAAAGGCTAGATTGCACATAAGAAAGCGTGGTACGGTCAGTTTGTAATGGCTGGTTAGAAGGATAAAAAGGACAAAAACATTGCCTACAATGGCCAGCAAGTTCACAAACCATACCACAATCCTCAGAAACTGGTATCCCATTATGTCCTCACAGGGATTAAACTCATCAGGCTCTGGAGTGCATATTACATCCTCACTGCCTCCACAGACAAGATAGTCATAATGACTGTCAAAGGCCTGCATGTCTTCAGTTTGAGGATTTTTGAGCTCTTGGCCAAACCCAACATTTTCTTCCCCGTGTTCTTCCAAAAATATGTAATATTGGGAATTTTCATGGAAATTTCTGAACTTGGTGTTTTTGTCATAAACAGAATCAGTGCGGTCTGTGTATTCTTCTGTATAATCTTTGTAAAATGGTTCTCTGATAGCTCTGAACAATCTTCTATTTTGAAAACTGTGACTGCCAGTCTGGTTACACATCAAGTACTCCAGAATTCTGAAAGAGGACAGAGGGAAATCACCACTGGCATTTACAGTTTGAGGTGAACAAAGGGAGCACTCAAAAAAAAAAAAATACCAAAGGAAAATGTAGCTATAATAATGTAATCAGTTACGTATTTGTTAGCAGAACATAAAGTAAATGAAAAACTTGAGAATTTCTGAGATCAAACAGAAAATTTCGTTATCAGAATAGCTGCTGTTTTTTACCTACATCTTTTTTTTCTTGGTGCTCAGATATCCTCAGAAGAAAGCTGGTCTGCCAACTTCTATAATCCCTGTTATTTATTGGAATCCACATTCTTAGTCATTCACAAGCCTCCTTATAACTTTCTAGATAACACACAGTATTGTATTCCTTTTTATTTTTACTCACAAATCTGTTTTTCACAGAATGTTAATAATAATCATTTCTATTCTGTGCATTTTCTCTACCTTCCTTACAGCTAACTACCAACATAGTATCACAGAATCACAGAATGGCCAGGGTTGGAAGGGACCTCAAGGATCACGAATCTCCAACCCCCTGCCACATGCAGGGCCACCAACCTCCCCATTTAATGCTAGACCAGGCTGCCCAGGGCCCCATCCAACCTGGCCTTGAACACCTCTAGGGATGGAGCACCCACAACCTCTCTGGGCAGCTGCTCCAGCACCTCACCACTTCCTCTGTAAAGAACTTTCCCCTGACATCCAACCTAAATCTTCCCTCCCTCAACTTAGAACAATTTCCCCTTGTCTTGCAGATATCTACCCTTTCGAAGAGTTGATAGTAGCTGAGAATACTGTACTCATGGTATCATGCATCTGCATTTGTTATCAAGAATATATTTTTTACTAGAAAAAAGTTGCAATTAGGTATCTTTTATCCATTGTCAAGTAAGCTTTAGCATTTTTCATTTCCAGTTGTTTAGAATTTGAAGTTGCTTACAATTTGAGATTGCCTACAATTAAATCTGAGAAATATATGTCTGCTAACAGACAAGCATGTCTGTTTCATTTTATCATTTGACTGTGCTGAGCTCTCTCTGCATATTCTACTTGTCTAGGTTTTGAATCTCTCTCCTCCTCTGTTTTGTTTGATTGCTCTCATTTTCCCATTCCATTGTAATTGTGAATAGTATTGGTATATGAGTTTCTTCTTGAATAATTCATAAATTTATCATAGCATATTTTAGTATACTATAAATTCAAACTACAAACACTGCATTACTGAAGATTGAGGCTGTCTTGTTAAATCAGAGAATGGCTAAAATAACAATTCACAGCTCTTAAAACTTATTCAGCTTTAGAGAAAATTATAATGGATTTGAATTCTGCATTCTAGAATTGTGCTGCTAACCACAGCACAATGTTCCTCCCCATGTGCATTCCCCCAGCAGATGAGCTGCTCTGTTCCACTAGGACATCTATAAATGCTTTTTTTTTTTTTAATCCTTACAAAATAGTTATTTCAGAATCATATATTCTCAGATTTTCAGTTAGAAAGTATCTGAAACATGAGGTTGCAAACCCCCAAAACTTATTTTTGCAGCCCTTGATATAGTACTTTTTTTTTTTTTTTTTTTTTTCCTTCTGGGCTCAGCAAAAGGAAGAGCCTTGCAAAAGGTCCTACTGATCCTGTGATGTATCAAAAATTATTTCCTTTCTGAGTTTGAAGCTGTATCCCTTTGTTTCAAAGAATGTACTCAAGAACTAGAGAAAATGTTCATAAAAGTGCTGATTATGTACTTTTGTGTTAATATTTAAAAATTGTCTTTACTTCTCTCTTTTAAAGACTCACCCACTGTTCTTTTTCCAGTTCTTGAAAGCGCAGCAGTGACTTGGATAGGACAGATCAGCTCGAATTAGCTGAAGAAATATCTTTACAGCTGGTAATTTCTTTAATGTCCATGTGTTTTGGGCCATTAGTTCTTTAAGGCTTTCCAATCCTTTGACAGGAAGATTAACAATGACTGTTCTGGAGACATCCCTTTGTAAAGGAAGAAACAGACAAAACAGAATAGTGAGTGATTGGATCTGAAATGTTTCAGATTCTCACAGTGGTTTATGAGATTCATAGAATTCTACAGCAGAAATAAAATCCAGGGTAGGTGGGGATTTAGGAAGCTGCATAAGTATATTCCACTTCCAAAAAAACAAAAGACATACAGCATGTTCTTATGAACTAAATAAGCCTTAACTTTATACCATAGAGTAATTAAATCACTTCATCTTCAGTTTCTGATACTTTTACTAATATACAATTATATATATAATTCTATGTACATTAATATAGCCTTCTTTAGGAATACTATGTATAATTTGTAGGTATGTATGTGTTTTAAAGTTCATCTTTAATGTCTCATAGATGAGAGCAGAGATGATAAATGCCAGGACTTTAAATTTACAACTTCAGAGACGATGTACAAGAATAAAGTTCTCAAAATTCTTTAACAAAACTGCATCTTCCATTAGAAGAACATGCTTCCATTAGAAGAAAAGAATTTTCCTTCAGGCTTCTTTAGACTCATTTTAATATGTTAGGCACCTTGTAATTGCTAAAACAATGTCCTTTATAATCTGAAATTAAAATGCTCTATCTCAGTGTATCCTGAAATGCTCACAAAATATTAATATTTGCTGCTTTCTGTTTTCTGGAACTGAGTCTGACTTAGCAGATACGTTGCATTGTTTATGGATTTCCTTAAGCCAGTTGAATATCATCAGATCCTGCTAGTCTTTGGCACTCATTTATTTGCTTTGTATCGAACTTCTTCTAATGATGCTGGAGGTCAAGGTCATTTCTCAGAGTCAGCTCTGTAAAGAAGTAAACCAGTAAAAAAGTTTCTGTTGTGGGAGCATTAAGCACTTTCATCATGAAACATCATGCTAATAAATAGTTCTCCTTTTTCCTACTCATTGTTTTCCAAGAGTGCTGTTGTTATCCCTCTAAGTCTCACCCACTCTGACTGGTTTCCTGCACTTAAAAGAAAATAATTACTAATTTTATTCTTTGAAAAAATTGCTTCTAAATCTCTTGTTATTACATTGCCTTATTTTTCCTTTTGATTCGCTAGTGTTAGTAAGTTAGAAATTGCTTCCACTGTCTGAAGGAGGGCCTTTTACATCTAATAGCTTCTTTGCTATTATATGTACTTGAATATGTCACAACTAGTTGATTTCAGTGACATCAGCTTCCTTTTTGTTCTTTTAGATCTTTTTCAGTAGGCATCTTTATGCTAAGCCCCTGAAATGGGCCTTACAACAGTCTGAATGCTCCCTCCTGTCATTTTATCTTTTATAGAGCCTCAGAGTAAGTCGAATCCAGAGGTCATCCAGTTTGACCTCCCTCTTCAAAGCAGCCACTAGGAACCAGTTGCTCAAAGCTTTGTCCTGTTGAGTTCTCAGTACCTCAAGAAATGGATACTCTACAACCTGTATAGTCAGGTTGTTCAGCATTTGACTACCCATACAGTAAAGAAGATTTATCTTAAAGTGAACTAAACTTTTCTGTATTACATTTTGTGCTTGCCTCTTGTTCTGTTGCTACCAATGAGAGTCTGGCTGCATTTTGCCAGCTCCAACCCCATCCAATTTGAAATATTTATATACACTGGTAAGTGTCTCTTGAGCCTTCCCTTCTCCAGGCTAAATGTTCCCAAATCTCAACCTTTACTTATATGATGGGTGTTCCTATCCCTCAATTAACTTACTTGCCTTTACCTGTGGCTTTTTATTTTTCACTATTTTCTCCATGCTATATAGACCTCCTTCTAAGCAAAACATCTTGGTAAAGTAGATCTTGGAGCAGATCTTACGAAGATAAAGCTGGCCTTTTGGCAACCCCCATGGGTCTCCATCAAGTCCTCATGGTGGTGGTAGCTACCTGCAGGAAGGGAACACGGTTAAATGCTGTGTGATGGGAGTTGCTAAGGCTTTTTGGAAGGGAAAAGTGGCACATCACAAATTCTTGGGCACTCTTTGAAGATGTTCTCATATAACCACATGGGAAAAGATGATGCAGTTTGCACAGTGAAGTTTTTATTTTTGAAAAGCCTTGACAAAGTCAGGTATCAAGGGCAGTTGTGGTAACTAAGAGGTTATATAACAAGAAGAATAGCTCTTGTGGATTAATAAAAAAATAAAAGTAGATGGGAAAAAGCCTGGGAATTTAGCATAAGTTGTCATACTAGAAAAAGAATGGGAAATCATTCATCATAGCAGCAGAAGTTCACAGGGCCTAGGCTAGTGCTGGTACTATTGAAATATTCATAAATAATCTGAAAAGCCAATGAGACTGGAAGCAATGAAGTTTCTTTCTGACACAAAATAATATAGGGTACTGAGAGCTAAGGATGCCTGAGAAAAGAAGCCGAAGAATCCTGCAATACTAAGTGACTGAGTGGTAGATGGGATTCAATATTGATGCAAAGTGCATTTAGGAAAACCTATCTTAACAGTAGGTAGATTACAATGATGTTTAATTTACCTAGTACTCTGGGTAGATCTTGAAGTCCTCCCTGCAAATCTCAGCTCATTGTTACTCAATAATGTTGAAGGGAAATAGAATGCTTAGTATTTTTAGGAAAGAAGTAGAAAATCTTCAGTCCATAAATCTAAGATGACTACATTTTAAGTACTATATGCAGTTCTATAAATACTATATGCAGTTTACAATGGGTAAATAAACTAGAAAAGTTTAGAAACATACATCAAGGATGATCATAGAATTATCAAATATTTTCATAAAAAGTAATAAGGACTTATTGGCTTGCCAGACATTGTATCTTAATCTGCATTAACATACATATAGAACACAAATGTTCATGAATGACGTTTTTATCTTGTTTCATTGTATGATCAGTTCTGATTCTGGACTACTAAGAAAAATACAGTTATGTCAGCCTTATTAATATCTAATTATATACATAACTAAGACATTTTTAAAACACAACTGCGTTTACAGTGCACAGAGTATCCAGCTATGACTGCGAAGCTGTAGCTGGCTCACTTTTAAAAACAAGAAGTCTGATAGACTTGACTAAAAAAGAGACAGGAAACTGATAAAATGAATGATGAATAACCAGGACTGGATGGTTTTCACTGAAAAGTTCTGAAGGAGCTTAAGGAGGAAAGAGTCGAATTAGGAGAGGAGGTGTGCATCCTCCAACTTAGCCCTATTTAGTCCCAGAACACAAAGGCAGCAAATGAGCCAACAGTTTTTGGAACATTGGGAAGCATGTGCCTATCAGGCTCTGATGTCTGCACTAGACTTTTTTTAGAAATCTAACAAGAAGAACAATTAATAAAGGTATGGACTAAGATAATGTGCCTGATAGAATCAGCAAGTGAAGGTCTTTGGTAAAGTCTTGCTTTAGAAACAAATCTCTCCAAGCATTGTGATGAAAACCTGCTCTTGTAGTCTCCTAGGACTTCCAAAAGGCCTTTTGCAAACCTCCACCAAAGGCTGATATGGAAACCAGGCAGCCACACTCCTTGTAGAAGACACCAAGTGTTCAGGGATGTGGTAAAATGCTGAAAAAGTTCACTTCTATTCCAGATCCAGCATTCATGTCGCTGGGGTTTAGAGCTCGTTCAGCTCTTGGAAATGGTTGATTTGCAATAGCAAATGTACATGCTTTGGAGTGTGCAGTTAACACAAATGCTCTCATCCATGTTTAATTTTTTTTTATTATTTTTCTGTATGGTTTCTTTATAAATCCTATGATGTTTTTCAGCTGTTGCTTATCTTACGGGAAATTTGAATTTATAGGGAACCGAATGTTGCATCAGCCATAGGTAAGCTTCAGATGAATACATAAATAAAGCATAGCTTATGATTTAATAAGCTGAGTGATCAGTATACATGGTTCAAGTGTTAAATGTTTAACTGCTCAAATTTGATATATTTTTAAGGATTATTATTTTTGGTCCTTATTTTTTAAAATGAAATTCAAAACTAGAGGTAACTGGTAAGTTTTTCCACCTTTTCTTCACAGTCAGAGACATGCAGCTGCAATATGAAATCAAATGATAATGAAAATTTAAAAGACAGATTAATTGAGAAAATGAGAGTGAATGTATAGTAGCACAATTAAGGATTTTTTATCTAATCATACCCAGTCTTCTTAGTTGTACTACTATAGTAGCTATAAAATCTATTCTAAGCTGGGCTTACTCTACACATTATTTTCATTTAAGCAGAGTCTTTACATCTACAAATTCTTACTGTTTGCTTCACAGAATGCAGGCTGTTCCCATTGCTTGAAGAACTGTTTTTGCCCAGTGGCATGAACAGAGTGGATCTTCCTAAGGTAGGACTGATTCCCAGTAAGGGAAGCAATGCTTTAAAAAATGCCTCTGCTTTCTACAGATAATTAATTTTTCATAAATATCTTATGCAAGAATTAATAATGTTTTGAATTCAGACTGTATATTTTGCAAAATCTAACTATACTGTAAGCCTGATTATGTTTTCATTGTACTCTGCTGAACTTGCATAGGTCTAGGTGTCAGCTCTTGTTGATACATTTTAGTAAACCAGGTCCTCTGAATCCTAGTCAAGAATTCATTTTGAGGGTAAGAGCAGTGCACTGTCATGCTGCTAAAATAGTTTTTCAAAGGGAGCAGTCCATACATCTGGCTATACAGCAAAGAGAGGAATCAGAATTATTGACATTTTTCCTCCTCTCTTCAATGATCCAACTCCCCTCTTTCTTTGCTATTGCAAACTGCAAATTTATAAACAGAAATATACCTAGATTTTTAATATCTGTCTAAACATACCACCTAACCTAAATATACCACCTAGAGTATGCCCAAACTCATGTAATATATCTAGGATAATTTTAACTTAGATATTTTCCACTGGCTTTCTTTAAAGTTGAAATGGAAGAAAATTATCCTCTTGGGGTGGATCCAAGGTAATTATTTTAGTTTTTAGGTTGCTGTTGCTGCTGAAGTCCTGATCAGAAAAAAAGAGTAGTAAACTATATATCTGTGGGATAGAAGTTCCATCAACCATAACTTGAAGAGTGTATAAAAGAATCTCAAGACCATAAGTTCTGCCAGCTTGATAGGGTGGCAAGGCAGAAAGAGTCTCATTTGTTGAGATCATTTTGACTATTGTAGGCAATAATATTCATTGCCTCAGGGAATGGAATATTTATCTTTTGGCAATCTTTTTCCACATAATTATTTTGCAATAGGAAAGAGTATTTTAAATGGAACTTTCTTCTTGAAGAAGATCCAATGTCCACAGATTCCCATGCCAGCTAATGAAGCTAACAACAGCTAGATACCTGAACCAAAAATGACATAATTTTATATTAAAATCCTTCAGATGACTATGAGGCTGGAAGCCAGGTTACATGAGAAAGATGATAAGGCAGCAAGACCAGTAAATTTATTCTGACTGAATCAATTTTCATCTCTGTTTCCATTTCCTTTACAGGTATGATACAACAGTCCCTTGATTTACAGTTGTACTCCCATTTCATGGTCATGAGACAGATTGTAGTACAGAATCTTTCAGAAGAAAAAACTGGAGAAAAACTGATTCTAAGAGTAAATTGGTCTCCTGTGGAAAAGCTTTTGTTGCTGATCATCTTTTTGTTAACTTGCCATTCCCACCCCTCTGTTCTACTATTGATGACAGTTGAAAAGAAAGTGTAAACAAAATTATATTATTTTTAAGGCTTTCTTTATATCACTTTCTCCTACTCACAGTAGAGTTGGTCCACTATGCACGCCCAGAAATGCATCTTCATTGATAACTTTCAGGTATTTGTTCTTGTGGAGATAGCTGCAGAAACAGACAAAACAGTTTGGAATTTGGAAACAGTCATCCATAGGTGAAAGATATTCAAGTTTACATGTCTAAATAGATTGACAAAAATAATATGTAAAGGATCATCCCATCCCAGAGTCAAGTTAAAGGTGCATGATTAAAGGCAGGCAATGCAATGCTACTGAATGCTGAAAAAAAAGTAATACAACCCAACTGAAACATTCAATTTTAAGTTTATTTTTGCATTTCTAGGTTACGTTAATAGTGACTAATCTAGGATGAATCTTCATCATTTTTAAGATGAATTCCTGTTTAGCATGGTCTGAAATGATAATGTGAGAAATGTAAAAATACATAGGCTGCTCCAAAAGTAATGCATCTTATTTATTTCCATGGATACCACAACAGATACAAAGAGCACAATAACACTGATAGAGCAAATTCTCAGCTGCAAAACCCTACTTTTCAACATAGTCACCACCACTGGCTATTCATTTTCACCAGCAATGAACAAGAGCTCATAAAAATCTGTACCAGCAGAGATGACCTACTGTTTCACAGCTGTTTGGATAGCTCTTGCAGTCCATCTTGCATGGTCTTGAACAGTTGGAAGTCAGAAGACACCAAATCTGGATTATACAGAGGCTGTGGTAGGACAGTACAGCCAAGATCAGAAATGTGCTCCATGATCTTCAAACCGGTCTTAGTGTGTTGCAAGAGAAAGGTTGTATTCTCAGGACTGACTCTGGAAATATGAGCCTTCAGCTTAGTGTTGTGGTGTAGTTTTGTCTGGGTTCCTGGAAATCCCAAGGGATCACCCCATTCTTAGCACAAACAATGGTGCACATCACTTTACCTCTCAATGCTGTGTTCTTGATGGAAAATTCACATGTTGCCATTCCATAGACTGCCTTTTTTTTTCCAGCTCATAGTGATGTCATCACATCTCGTCTTATTACCAGTAATGATGCAATCCAGGAAACCGTCACTTTCAAGCTCATATTGCTTCAATAGATCCTGACAAACTTGCATACAGTGTTCTTTCTGTTACTGTGTTACTCATGGGACCTACTTGAAACAAAACTTTGCTATATTGGAACACTGCCACCACAGTTTCCAATGGATTGAAGCCAGCATTCAGCTCTATATACAGTACTCATAATCTGCCAATTTACACGGATTAGTAGATCAAGACACCCTTCATTGTGTAGAGTGGCAGTGGTGCATCTGGAATATGGCTTGTCTTTCAACTCACTCCTGCCACTACTGAAACATACCACACACTGCCTCGTTGTGCTTATATCCATTGTTTGGTCTCCATCAATGTTCAGCAAGTGCCAATGACTGTCAGTGGGTGCCATTTTTCTGAATGGAGGAACTAAATGACTCATATTTGCTCCATCTGGATTTCCATGTCAGACACTGTTTTGTCAGACTGCCCTCCTGCCATCAGAACAGTGGAAGGAAGGTTTGACCTCTACTGCACTAACACGCACATACACCACCAACATTGTGGGCCAATGTAATAAAATAGGGCATTAGTTTTGGAGCAGCCCGTCTATACGGATTGCAGGTAATTTAGTCAAATTGCAAACTGTAATTGCAAGGCTACACATTTATTTCTGAGACTTTTGTTCTCAATGGCCCAAGACAGTTTATGGAGTTTTTGTGGAAGAAACTAGGAGAAAAATAATTGGTTTTGGTAAATCCACAGTTGCAGGTCTACAAAGAGAAAACATAAATTCAGTAAACAGCAGAAGCACAGGCATCCTGCTTTTGTGCTGGAGGCACAGTGGATGTAGAGCACTGACCACTTCTATGAAATTCTGCATAGAGCAGATATACACAGAACATGGTGAAATGGAAAAACAAGCATTATTTTTATTTCATCATGTATTTTATGATGCCAACTTCTGTGTGAGTTGGATACATTTGACATAGGGTTAGAACAAAAATGTGGTTTTGGAGTAAATGTTCAGCTAAAATGTACTCCTCAAAATATCAAAGTGCATTAATTTCCTTGATGAGGTTGTACTTCATGCCATCTCCTTGGTTAGCCAGGACTATAAGCAGCCAGATCTTGTAAACATAGACAGGACACGCTGAATTTGCTAAGCAATGAAAAGAGACTGAAGATTAGGTTGTGATATATATATACATATAGATATGTATGTGTTCATATGTACATACACACTGCACACATACACAGGGATGTGGATAGGACTTCACTGTGATGACTCCTTCCCTCAGCAAGCAGTTAAGACCTGTGTTATTTTTACTTGGTTCAGTCAAGATCTATCTCAAAGTTTACAAGTGGAGTAGCTTGCAGACATCAAATCTAGTCATGTTTGATAACTTAATTTCATTGGAAACTGGAGTCCTGTGATGGCAGTGAGAGTCATTTACCAGATATAGTTGTCCCTGAGGAGGAAGGAGCAAGTATGCAGCTCTCTTGGCTAAGGGGCACTATATAAGCAGTGATACCCAACAATTCAAGCATCTTGTTCCTGTGCTGTGCTAAGGCAAGACCTTTGAGAGAAGTTTGAACTAAGACAGCAGTGTAGATGGTAAAATGCTGCAGGACTGAGCTTCGGGGCAGAAATGCAATATGACTCATTAAGGAGAAGAACGTAGAGAATTGCTAAGGAAAGTTGTCGAGGGGAATGAATAATCCCCTTAATGAAAGAAGGCAAAATGATCAACGCTGTAAAGGCCCTGAAGGAACATGGTGCCTAAGGCAACTGACTCTCCCCTTTATATTCAAAATAGGTTTCCTTTTTTTTCAAATTTCTGTATAATGGGAAAAGTAAAGGCACGAATAGCAAAAAACAGATTAAAACATGAGATGGCAGTCTAGGAGCAACAACAACAGCCCCAGACCACATTATTACAGATAGCTTGGGTTGGCAATAACAGTGGGTCACTCAGGATGAACAAGTAAAAGCATTCCTTGACATATTGCCAACAAAGGCTGATGGAGGTCTTGACGAAGAATGACGAAGAATAATATGACATGATGTGATGACTGTAAAACATTGCTCCTCTTAAAGCCAAATGAAGAACAGAAACCTTGCAAGGACAGCAAACAATCTGCCTTGTGGAGGTCATGTTTAAAAGGACAGAGAAAAGCAGAGAAAATTGCCAATGATGCAGTTGATGTCAGGATGTTGGCTACTGTAACTACTATAAACTTTTTAAAGTTAGCTTGTGATGTAGCTAGGAAAGCAAAAAAATATAAAAGAAAGCTTGTAACCCCTGCTCTCAGAGGATGTCAATGAAAATGCTATGCCCATTGTGCCAATTAGCGGAGGAGGTACGTGACCTGTCAAACCTTTCTTAACTCTAACCTCTGTAATAAAAACACCATTTGAAATTAGTCAGCCAACTCAGAGAAGTGCAGAAGGATCACCATTTTACCTCTGTGCTGGGAGAATCTTCTAAATTGAGACAGGTGAACTGGGGGTTAAGCTGTAAAAGTAATAAAGTCAGTGCAATTGTTTTTTGTTTTGAAGAAAAAAAAATTAAAAAAAAAAAACCACAAGTAAAGCTTTTAATCCCATCCTGGTTGAAGTCACTGGCAGTTTTTCCAAAACATTTGTTGTGTACAAGCTCACATTGATCACCATAGTGAGAAATGAGCAGAAGTAAATGCTCTTCAGCTGGGTTATTCAAAATAGAGTCTTACAGAGCCATGCCAGAATAAAACTTCTGGCATGTTATTCACTGGACAATGCCAATGCCTAAAGCCTTGCTTCTTACAGAGAAAAATAGCTTATTCTTTCTCCTCATCTATTGCTGTTTGAAATAAACTTTGTTTCTTTAAATATATGAAGTATTATAGTATCACCTTATGTCTGTAGTTTTTGAGAACTCAAAGTCTGTAAATGACAATCTTTGTTTTGAGCTGTTGCTTCATTTTGCAAATTTCAAGATTTTATCACCAAGTGAATACGAAAACCAAAAACAGAGCAAGAGCTAAGAATAATCCAATGGTTCTGAAGGACACAAAATCCTGCCTGATCTAATTAAACTGTCTGAATTGATAACTAGATATTATTACACAGCCAGATAAATGACTTGTCCAGCTGTGAAATATTTTCCCCTGACACTTGAATAACACAGTGATAAACCTGAAATTTTATAGTTCACATATGTGACAAAAATCTTCAAATTGATGAATGGAAGTGGTCCAGTGGAAGCTTAGGGGAAGTTCATAACCATACGTTAACAAGGAGAGGCTGCAGTGTTATTTGCCAGTTTTCACACACATGTCTCAGGCTCATCAGAACATATAATTTCCTGATGATAATTGATTTCAGTTTAATCTTTTTCTCTGATAGGTACTTCTTATAAACAGAAAAAAAAAAAAAAAAAGACTGTGATAAACAGTCATTTGACAAAGAAAATTTATGTATGGCTAACATAACTCCTTACAAGAGCACCTTTAATCTCACTTTTATGCATGGCTTAATGGTATTGAATGTTATTTAAATGCAGTGCAGAAAAGGAAAGCACAATATGGTACATGTCAAATAGTGATAGTGTCAAAACAAACATTGAAAGACTGAGAATGTCTGTCCTCAGTGGGATTCACTAGAATAATGATCAGTTTGAAGAGTTAATGAAAGGCAATCAGAAAAACATTAACATCACAGTGCAAAGTGTGCAGGAAGTATAGAGTAGGATAAGGTGATGGTTTAATTGTGCTATATATGAAATGACAAATACATGAATATTCAGTCATTATCAACACATACTTCATAAAGCAACAAGTTAGATAGTCCACCTGAGGAAAAGCAACTCTTGAGTTTAGCTTTTGAAGCTTGCAGAATCATATAATTATAGAATCATTTGAGTTGAAAGCAACAATTGCAGATCATTTAGTCCAACTCCCTGCAGAGAGCTGGGTCACCTACAGCTCCATCGTGTTGCTCAGAGCCCTGTCCACCCTGACCTTCAATATTTCCAGAGACAGAACATACTCCATCTCTCTGGCAATCTGTTCCAGTGTTTTGCCATCCCTATTGTAAAAACTACTTCTTATATCCACCATTAAACAGGCTCTGGACATGTAATGCATTAGTCTAATTAAATATCCTGTTTGTTTATTAATTGGAAGTTAAAGAAATGGAGAGTCTGCAAAAGATGTGAGCAATGTTAAGGATTCATCATGTGCTTCTACTACACTGTTGTTTATCTCGTCTCTGAGCTTGACCAAGCATTAAAAATTATCCCTGGCAGCGTATACCAAAATAAATACATCCTTTTGGAGTTATTTTTGTAATTAGATTTTGAAATTGCACACTCACCATTTCAGTAATTTAGCTCTGTAAAAGCTCATCTCATGCATTTTGCCATTCACTGGAACTATATTCTTAAGAAACTTCTTTCCTCATCAATTTCCTTACAGAAATAAACACAGTTGCAGGAGCACCACTTTGCAGAATTCTGCAGAAGTGTCAGGATTAAATGTTGTTTTTGGTGGAGAGATTCAACTTTCAGATGGACAATGTTCAGTAAAAGTACAGTTCACCTCTTCATTCATGTTCTTGTACTTTCCTACCATTATAAAACCTGTACGAAGACATCATGGTTTGCTATAAACACAGATTCTTGTTGAATGAGAAAACTTAATAGGTAGCACTATTGCTTAACATGGCGATCACTTATGCACTACTCCACACTTACATCTGTGTTGTTTTCAACCTCCCTGCATTATCTCTTTCAGTACTGCAAGACTGGGTGAAAGGCAAACCACATGATAGCAGGTATCTTCTTCAATTCCCAATTTTTTTTTACTATTTATAGATAGCATGTGGAATATTTGAATGATTCATCAAAAATGAAATTTTGTTTTCTATTGTTATCCTTTTTTTTGCTTGTTCTATTCTTAGAAGTAATTACTCGAAACCCATGAAAATCTTTCCCTCACTGTTTTTCTCCTCTTTTCTTTTTGCTCCTAATTTCATCTAGTCCAAAGGGCCATGGATCAGACCCAGAGAAAAACAGGTCCTTTCTTTCCTGTGCATTGCCAGATAAATGAGAGTTCAAATTAAAAGCGTCAGAATAAAGAAAATGAAATATTTACCTTTTGCATTAACTTAATGCTGCTACTAGAAACAACAAATCTCCACCCTTGCACTTAACAGAATTATACTTTATCTTAGCACATGTTAATCAAGCTACTTAAGAAAATTAGTTTAGAAATTTCAATATAGTTTATCAAACAGATAAAGACTTCACCACTGATGTTCTGCTCCATAGTTTGCCTTGTAAATCTGGAGCTGTGCTTTGCTCCAGGTAAATCTTATATGATTTAATTACAAGAAAACTCTTTGTTGTTATGAACAGTTTTTACTTCTGATAGGCAAAGCCCTGAAGGTAAGCCTGCTTTTATTTTCTATTTATTTATTAAGTAATTTTAACTAGTACATCATAAACAGCCTCTGGAAAAAATCACTAAAACAATATTGATTATAAACTTTTACTGAAAGAAAATAAGCTGTATTTGCAGAAACTTATACATGTATTCTCCTTCTCCTACCCAGTCAAATAAAGCAGAATGCCACAGACTCTGAACCATGTAGAACTACATTTCCACTTAATTCTTCAGTAATGACAAAAATTCCAGTGAGGCCAGAAGCGTTTGCACAGTATCAGAGAAGAAAAAAACAAACTCCTATAGAGTCATATTTAAAATGTGTTTCATCAGTATATGAGAAGCTGAAGAGCTACACAGTTTTTCAATTGGCTAACAGAGAAGTATTAAGAATTGCATAAAAATCTTGGATTTAGTCGAGATGCCACATTCATTTAGATGTATTTTACTTCTTGTGATTTCTGTGGACATTAATATCAAACACTGTGTCATCAAGAAAAGATTTTCTTTTTCATACAGAAGTTGAATGACTGAATTCATGTGAAGAAAATAAGATCTACTCCAATTCTTTAGGTTTCAAGAAGTCCAGATAAGCGTTAAGGGAGAAAGAGGCAGTTTGCAAAGATTCAGCCTGTGTGAAAGATGATCTTTCAGAATTTTTATAGAACTCCAAACCTATTTAAAATAAAGAAGTAGGAAAATTTTCTGTATCCTCATGTCTCTATAGTTAACTTAAGAGTTCACAATGAAGAAATTTCTTTAACTTGTGAGATATTTTGATAACCAGACTCCAGCTGAGTAAGCTCTGCCAAAGCAAATGGGGCTTCCAAAACCTTTCTAGATTTGTTCCATGTGAACAGACCATTTTGAGAAGGATGTGAAAAGTATATTCAGTTGATAAGTAGTAGTTTTCCAGAAACTACAGTAAGAAGGTGAAGAGAAAGCTGAAATAATTGCTTTTTGCTTTGGACAGGCACATCTCTCATTTTTAGGTCGAGTGTCTGGTTCCTCCCAATTGCCTTTTTTTTTTTTTTTTTTTTTTTTTTCCTTCAGGTAAGAGATTTCTGTGAAATGTCATTGCTACCATTACTAATATTACACTTATTAAAGTAAACTGCCTTGTAAGATTTCAATTGTCTTTGAAATCTTTTTGACCAAAAGATATTTCATTGTAGCTTCAGGTCAGAAAGTTAAACAAAATTCATACTAGAATCACCTGCTATGATTTTATTTCTAAACTATAAATATATGTATATAAAATCGAAGTACTCTGCAAAAGATGTCAAAATACCTATATTTTTATTGCTGGCTGAAATTAGTATCTTTCTCTTTTCTTTTAAAAGAAGAGATTATCTGGTACTTACATAGCATCCAGATTTGTCCCGTTAAAAGCATGGCCTTGGATGCTGGTAAAACCATTATTGTAGAGTTTGCTGCAAACAAAAATAAATAAATTAGTGTATTTTGGGATGCTTTGGTAATGAAATACCTATTATCTTATTTATCATTTTTATTTGCAACTGCGTGTTTATGAGTGAGTTAGTTTCAATGTCTTGAAGAAGTAACAATTGTAGTGCAAGATTGAGCAGATGCCAGCAGCTTTCCTAAATGTAGCCAAATTAAGAATACCATGTGGCAGGTATGCTGTCTTTTACTTCTTTGCGCAGTAAATATAGAACTAGACAAAAACATTTTGCCATACCTTTCCTGCTTCCAAGCTACAAACAAAGAAATAAAATTCTGCAAGGTCAAATTAAGGAAATAATAAATTGCAGTATGGATACTGTTTTACAGTAATGCCTGTCTGAACTTCTAGAAGTATGGATACTACATATAATGCCTATGATGTTTCTCCATTATAAACTACTGGAGAGTACAACTGAGTTGTTTTTTTTTTTAATATAGTACCAAATGCTTGACGGATTAAGGCAAGGTGATTGCCTTTTTGGGTTGAGCTGGAAGAACTTACAGAGTTAGAGATTCATTACAGAGCCCATGGAAAGCATTTGCAGGCACTGAAGTCATGAAAGGATTGTCTGCAATTTCACTGAAAAAGGAGAAAAAACATCACAGTCAAATATCTGCCTAACAGAGCTTCTCCAGAACAGTTTTATTATTCATTTTTTCTCTGCCTTGGTAATAAATAAAAGTGTAGAATTATTGTTTAGTTACACCTACAGCTGTAAGAGGCAAGCTGGGATGATTAAGAATCAAGGATGTTTCAGCATCCAAGAAGTGAGCTTGCAAAGTCAATGGGTTTTATAGTCCTGGTGAGATGTGCCAGCCTGCATGATTTCTGTGGTGAACAGCAAAGACAAATTCATTCTCCCAAAATCCAGATAATTTGCAAAGTGAATCATGCTGCAATGTCAACTGAGTTAGCTCAAGTGACTTTCGAGATGAGATCTTGCTGTTTAGCTATGCTTAGGTAAAATATCAGAGAATACATTATAACAGACAGAAGCATTTTCCCTTATAGAACTGCTTCTAAAGAAAGTGAAATAAAATTTTAATGTCTGATTTAACTTAATGAATTTTCTCAACTGTTGTCCAAATGAGTGTTTCAATATCTGTTATTTCTTAAAAACTTAATTCCCACTCTGCAGCCTTAAGAAATACCCACAGCACCACATAACCATTTGCTCTTTCCCCTGCCATGGGGTGGGGAACAGAATCAAAAATGAGAAAAGTGAGAAAACTCAGTGTTTGGGATAAGTGCAGTTAATAAGGAAAAGGAAAAAAGAAAAAAAAAAAAAAGTTAAAATGAACACACAAAACCCAAAAAAACAGCAAAATATTTTGATGCACAACACAACTGACCACCACTAGCTGGCTGGTGCCCAGCCAATCCCAGAGGAAATGTAACCCCCCCACCCACACACACACAGTTTTATAATTTAGCATGTCACTATAATGGTATGGGACATTCCTTTGTCCAGTTTGTGCCAGCTATCCAGGTTCTGTCCACTCCCAGCTTCTTGTGCACCCTCAGCCCCTCACTAACAGTGTGAGAAGGTGAAATTTCCTTGGTTCCATGCAAACACTGCTCAGCAGTAAACTAAAACTTCGGTGTGCTATCAATATCATTCTCATTCTAAACCCACAACACAGTACCACACCAGCTAAGAAGAAAATATATTTGCTGAAACCAGGACAATCATGAAGGTGAATAGTAATGTAACAAGTAGTTATACTACTTGTGCTAGTGCTCAGCCACCCACAAAGTGAAGTGCTTTCTGATTTTCAGTTAGAACATACTGTGTTCCATTTTGTATATATGGCCTTTTATCCTAGCACTAGGCACCACTGAAAAGAAGCTAGCTTCATCTTCTTTGCATCCCCAGTTCAGGTACTTATACGCATTGATAAGATTCGCCCAGCCTCCTCTTCCCCAGGCTGAACAGTTCCAGCTCTTAGCCTCTCCTTATAGGAGAGGTGTTTCAGTCCTATAATCATCTTGGCGGCCCTGCATTTCATTCTTTCCAGCTTGATTAGGAACACCATTTATCAGTATTGAATCAACATCCAGGTCAGACCATTAATCAAGCCTTTGTAAATTCCTTTCCAGAATAGTACATCACAGTTTTAACTTTTACTTAGTCCATTCAACGGTCAAGCCTATTCCAGCTGAATGCTGTGTGATATGCAGACTGCTACCACTAAATAGTGACTAAGATACTTTTACTTTGTGTCAGCCTACAAGTCTTTGTCTTAGCTGCTCTTCCTTAGCTTGATTGCAACCCTGATTTTGGGCTTTAATTGCAAGTTAGTGTACAGAGACAGATATAGGCTTTGCTTTTTTGAATGCAAAGAAACATCTGTTTTCACGGCAGTAGTGTTTGTTTCTGAAATAGCTTTAAGGATAAAAAAGGCAGGAGACACAAAACCTCCACCACATTTGTATTCCCTTTCTTTGTCTCCAAGCTGTTCTGCAGTTTGTTCCATGAGAAAAAGGAAAGAAGAAAAAAAGAGAAGAGGGGGTCCTTTAAGCTAAAGTAAACCTTTTTTTTTTAAGTTGCAAGAAAAGGAGAATGCTTTACTGTGACATAGAAATGCATCATGTGAGCAAACTCAACTAAATTAGCAAAGCTGCAAATAGGACAATTCTTTCCAGCTGAGGACTGTAGTTAATGAGGACTCTCACAGGAATGCTTGCTTAAAAATAGGTAATTCCTGCTGCCTGGTTTCTTTAATGGGGTAGTAGAGTTGTGCAGGAAGTGTAACTGCACAAGTAAATTTAGGCATAGTATGTGTTCGTATGGAGCTGTGTTGTGATTCTAACAGATGGCATCTTAAGCATCTGCTGTGAAATAAGGTGAGTGACTGAAGGGAAATAAGCAGTCCTCTCTCTTAACAGTGCCTGCTTGTAGTGTAGCCAAATAGTAGTTTTCAGGAAATATGTGGTTCTTTGTTTACGGATTTTTAGGTGCAAGGCTTTTCTACATTAGCTTGGTATTGGCAGGCTGTTTTAGTAACAAACAGAAGACTTGTTTTCCTTCACAGTGAGAAGTATGTGAAAGTGACACAAGTACTTAATAAGCGGAGGGAAAGTGCCTGGACAGAGAAAAGAAAGTTCAGAGTACTTATGCTACTTAGAGGCATGGATGATGCTGGCACTATGCCAATCACCATGGGTGTGAAAGGCCATCTTGGAGGCTTCTGCAGCTGCTTGTGCTGGACATCCACCAGCAATTCTCTCAGTGTGCTACCGCTACATATGTTGAGGGGAAAGGTGATGGACTCTGAAGTGTCACTGTAATGTTAGGAAGGGGAGAAGTGTTGCTTACTATTGTTCTGAAACAAGGTTATGATGTTTAGAACTAATGGAGCCCATAAGCTGAGGATGGGAGTTTACCAATGGGATCACTGGTATGTGGGAGCTACTACCACCACCTTCCAAAGATATCCAGTGCTTTTACACTCTGTCATTAGCAACTCATTAACAACCAACCTGATTCCTCATAATAAAACAAGAGTCCTGTAGCACTAACATGCAACAACATAAATTACAGCAGTGCATGCAGGCTCACAGGATGAAGAGTGGATGTGCTGGACTGTAAAAATTGTGTATTTTGGGATGTAGCTAATTGAAGAGAAATGCAATTATGTGTATGTCTCATTCAGTTCAAATACACAGTGCAGGATGACCTGACATTTTCCAAATTTGATACTAAGAATAATTGAACTACAATTTGAGGAACAGTATTTTGACATACTTATTTTCTAATTTTCTCTAAAATGGAAGTCTTCACTATAGGTTTTCTTGGGATCTAGGGTGGCAGTATTCTACGTGGCTGTGAGAGTAGGTACTTACAGTAAAAAGTTCACATCAGATGAAGAAATTTTAGTGAGGTCAGGAAATACTTTGAGTCCAGTATTGAAAATGCCACTAAAACAGAGAAGACAGAGTGTTACATGTAGTGGATCACAGCAAACGTTTATGTATTACAGACATTTAATGGATCAGAAGAATAGCAAAGTTAGCAATGAGTTTCTAAAAGATTTCCTTGTAAATATAGTCAAAGTCTCAGCTCCTATTCTAGCTGATTTTTTTTTGTCCTTAAAGTAAAGCAGTAGGGAAAGTGTTACAACCAGTTTCAAAATGAAATGCAAAGAAACCACTATTGTGTAGAGAGATGTCTGTGAGGCCAAGTACTTGCAGGTGCCAAATACTTACAGGTATTTCAACAGTGGAAGGTTCTTAAAGGCATCTGGATCTATGTAATCCAAGTTTCTAAGATTTCGAATTTCACTGCAAGAAAAAAAAGAGGGATGAGGGAATGTTACCATTACATGTATTTTTTATAATAGAAACCAGGAATATTAAAATTAAATTTCAGGGAACTACTTTCAGAAAATTTGATGTTTGCTTATAGATCCTCAGACGTTTCCCTATGGTTAGGGCTCTTAGAGAACATAGGAATGGTACTTTGTAAATTTGAGTAAAACGAAAAAATTTAATTTAAAAAGACAAAAATTAAAAGCAGTAATAAAGTTTGCATAAAGCTACATCAGTGCCACTGTTACTACTGCTGAGTAAACCTCCTGCCTGGTAACTTAATTTGAGTGTCTGCACGATTAATACAAGTCAACATAGAGTTTAAGTTTTTAAAACACATTAAACAAATATGAATGCAGTAACTTCCCTAGGGAAGTAGGATTGGGATTTCCATGTGTGAATTTATATGTTACTTATTGCAGCACCCAGAACTGCAGCTGGAGTGAAAGGCACCTTTGAAAAGCTAAGACTGTGCAAAATACAATTTAAACTAGCTTCTCTTTTTCTCCTTAAGTTGGTCTGGATCACAGATGCTTTTCTTCTCTACCTATCAGAGCCGTGTATCCCATGAATGACCAGTCTCAGGACAGCTCTTAGACTCTCAGGACATTTTGTTACTTACGTAGAGAAATTTTACAGAAGACAAGTATGTGTGGCATGGTGCTGCAGTTTCTGCGTGCGATATTCTAGTCTTACATCAGTTCAAAAAGTGGTGCTACTCAGTATAGACACAGTAGAAACTGGTAGTATTTAATTTGCCATGCACTAACATCAAGTAACCCGAGCACAGAATAAAGCTAGCCAAATATTCTGAGAAATAAAAGTGGGAAAAGAAGCATCAGACAATTGATATATCAACATGTGGAAGACATCAGCCTCTCTATATTCTTCTTTACAGAGAGAGTTTCTGCTCTATCTTCCTAGCCTTCTGTTCTTACTGCATCTACATTATGAGGAAACAAGGACTTACATTCTATTTGCATGTTGAACTGATATAGTTAATAGTTATGCTACTGCTATTATAGTGCTGAGTATTTTTCATGTCTGTTAACTTCTTTAACAGTATTGTTTTTGTTATAAGAAATCTATGTCAGTCTCTTGCTTCTCTCAAATTACTTCAATAGTTATGTAGCAATCATATTCCCAACAGTGGAATTTTCTCCGTAAACTTTGACATGTTTTTTCCATCACTGCTACATTTAAAAATCTGAAGTCAGGAGCTTCATGGCTACATACTCCTTTGTTGTGGACCAAACGTATTGTGGGGAGAGATCAATATTAAGTCTGGAAATGGATAATACATTGTATTGCCACAGAGTCATCGGGTTTTGCTATTCATAGTACTCTGCATAAATGATTTGGATGAGGGTATTAAAAGTAAGAATTCGAAATCTGCAGATGGTACTAAAATTGGGAGCACAAAATAATTAAATGAGATTCAATCAGATTTTATTAAGTAACTAGGCCATGAGAGAGCAAGTGGTGGTTGACAAAGGGAAATGACAAAGGAGAATAAAAGATTCAGAATTGCCAGATGAGACAGTTGGCCCATTAATCAGAGAAAAGCTTAAAGAACTCAAGCAAATCATTACATACAATGAAGAATGGGAAAAGGTTTATGCCCTTGCTGTTCCGGGTTCTTGAATTGATGATGCAGAGATTAGGGAAGAAATGTGCTTTAAAATATAATGTATTTATAATTCCATTTCATCCTACACATTGTATTCAGGAGGTTTCTTGTGGTCCAAAAGGGAGGGAGGAAAAGGCCTATTGTGGGCAAGTGCTACCTAAATCAAGAGCAGGCAACCAGTTGCCTAGAAGTCTCTTTTCAAAAATTGATGACAAAGTGGATGAGAGAGGTGAAAGGAAAAAAAAAAAGGTGATTTGACAAATTGATTGTTAATCTTAAGAAAAAGCTAGGAGAGAAATCCAGATTTCTCTGCTCCTAGTCCAGGCAAATGTAACTGACTAAGTATGTGGACTCTCATTTCATATACCATATTCATATTCTTATATTCATAGAATCATAGAATCACAAGGTTGGAAAGGACCTAGAAGATCATCTAATCCAATCGTACTCCCATTACCATTGCTACCACAAGCTACTAAACCATATCTCATAGCTCCTCATCCTCATAGCGCCTCTTGAACACTGCCAGGGATAAAATGAAAAAGACGCCAGGGATAAATTGAAAAAGAGACAACTTTAAAGTCAGATCCATCCATGAAACTGTCATCACGTATCTCAGCACAGGATAGAATCCTCCCTAAAAATCTCAGATTTAAAGGATATCTGTAGCTCCATCAGTAATGGAACCTATGAAGTGAGCTCAAAAGGAGGAAAGGTATTTTAATAGTTCTAATCACATCAGTTAATACCACAGTGATACACAAGATGGATTTTGATTTATTTTACATGAATCAGTCATAAGTAGTGTATTCAGAGGTGCCAAACTGTTATAAGACAGCAGTATTCAAATTTGTAATCAAAAGAAAGTTTTGGCTTAAATATTACTTACAAAGGATAAAAAAAAAAAATGTAGTATTTAAAAATGTTCTAGGTTCACAATCAAAATGAAAATTTTACTGTGTGTGAATTGTACCTGAGTTTTGCTTATTAAGAAAATTACTTTAAAAACTTTAGAGTGGCAGGAACAGATGTGCAGAGAAAATTACTTAGTGATACACTTAAAATCTTTTGTCAATATTTATAAATAACTATAAATAATACTTTTCTGTTTAGGGACACATGTGAATATTTAGTTCCAAATCGAAATGAGTCTTAAAATTAAACTGATAATTACTCAGTTATTACTGTGATGAATTAACATAATGAGCCATACATTTACAAAGCAAACTCTTGACAGCTCAGTCAGCTACTTCTTATATTGTATACATTTAGTAATATTAAAAAAGAAAAAATATTAATGTAAGCAACTTCTAAAATTCGTTTACCAGACATGTCTTTCAGACATGCCTTGCAGTACTGACACATCCCTGAGTTTTGCTTGAGACCAGAACCCAGATATTCTAAAGCTGACCAGAATGTCAATATAATCCCACTGTGTTTGCTATGTATGAACAGTAAGGATGTCTAGCTCAGCAATTCTAAAACATTTTAAATCAGCTGCTTTCTTTTTCTAGTAATAACTTGTGAATTTTCCCTGCTTCCTTACATTTACTTTGCTAATGAATACCATGGCCTCCTGCGCTTGTCCGTGTTTTTCCCTCCCTCTGCAGTGAAGATGCAGACCCACTAAGAGCAGCTCTCCGTGGCTTTCCACCTGTCAAGTTTTGGCACTGCTAACACTAGAAAATTGGTTCAGGCTCTAGCCAGTCTATCCTCTACCTGCAGACATTACTTTTAAGATTTTCCACACAATACTTTCTCCAGTGTCCTAAATTTCATTGCAGCTATATAACCCTTCCCTTCATTCAGTTTCCTATTAGGGCCAGCCCTTCCCTCCTCCTCTCCAGTTACCCCTCAGACGTTGTCATAAAACCACCTCTCCTTTCTGCACCCCATATCCCAGGACCTGGCTCCATGGCTGTCCATGTGCAGAAGTACCCCTGCACCCACTCTGCACAGAGATGTGAAGTAGTCCCTCCAGCTCTTGAAGTGATGTTGCATATACAAAGGTAAGCCACTTGATCCACAATCTTTGGCTGTATTCCCACACCCTCAAAGGGCTTCTCACATAGTTGTTCAAGAGGAGAGAGTGTTTGGAGTATGGAGGAGTGGGGAGAAATGAGGGAGAGAGGAGCATGAGCAGAGACACAGAGGGTTTGAAAAGAAAGAGTAAATATTCCTTATCTTAGAGTGGTTTTTCTGGGAAACGAAGACCTAATTACAAAAGCTCCTTATTCTAATGCCATCAAGTTACAGATTGCTAGTAAGATTACACAGCAACATAGACTCTTTTGCATTTGCATCTAGAAAGCACAGTTTTGTGACTGTATGTGAAAGGCAGTCCTGAATTGTTAAACGTGATAAATTTGTCTCACAACCATACTTAGAAACAGTAGTGACAAAAACAGCAAGCTGGAATACATTGTGAGATCAACTTAACGTAATTGGGGAAAATATCAACACAAAGTCTTAGCCCTGATTTTAATCTTAGTATAGTGTGAATTTTACCAAGACTTTCATTTGAAATGAGATCCAGCTCATGAAATTGCAGGAGATGATATGTACTCTTAGTTTGCAAAACTTGCTCAGCGCAGGAGAAGTTTAGGCTTAGATATAATATAGGCTCAGAGGTTTCTCTTAAGGTAACAGGGGACATAAGAGATGCATACATGCAGAAAGTCATGATAGAGGCTGTCATGGTTTTATGATTTTTGGTTATCATAACATCAGGTAGTGCACTGGGAGTTAAACTGTTAATGCTCAAGTTCCGGGCTCCTGTCTGGAGGAGAAGAACCCAGGGGGCTTTGTGGTCAGAGAGGAGATATAACCCCTGGCAAGGTCACCTGACGTGCTCTTCTTCATCGGCTCTCCTCCCTGCTGCTCAACCACACTGTGCATCTCACCTCAGTGTTATGGTGAGGCCTTTCCACCTTTTGGACACTCTCTCAGTATATTTGATTTATTGGCTTCAATTCTAATTATGTTGTACTATAATGTGTTATCTTGCATTCCGATACTATATTTAGTAAATTTGTTTCTCCTCAGATCATTGCTGCTGTTTTTAATTATTTTGGGGTCCCCTGTTTTCCTTTTCTGGAGGTGCAGATTTTGTGAAATCCCTCCACCCTGCTAGTCACAGAACTGGGCCAAACCAGCCCGTAAACCGTTGACAGAGGCACATAGGCACTGAGTGTGGACCAGAAAAAAATAGAGTGCTGAAGTTCAAAACTGAGGCACACCAGCAGGCTTGGCAGACAGAATGGTGATGAACACAGGATGCCTATTCATATGACATTTGACTCAAGCCGAAGCGATTAGTGCTTTCCTTCCATAAACACTAAATTTTCTTATAAGAAATTTTGTAGAAAAACAAATCTTTTTAAAAATTAAACAGTATGTATAAGCTTAAATTGGTGTAAAAAAGATTATTTACATAAAACTGCACTCTATGAAAACTCCATGAAAAATTGATCCTGTGAAAGGTAAGCTCTGTGAAATGACTTATTTTCAAAACTGTTAGTTACTTCAAACTTCTTTAAAACAATCTATGATAATCTTTATCCGGCAATAATACTTTCAAAATAACTATGTAAGTGGAGAACATTAAACAAATGTACAGCAAAACATAACATTTATCCCCGAATAATCTTGTTGTTTGGAAAGTAAATTAAACCCATCAACAAAAAGCGTTAACAAATCAGACTATGATTTGTTATAGAAACAATTCAGAAAAACAGTGAAATCTATAAATAGCTTTCTCTTCTCTCTTATATGCAACTGCCTGGTTTTCCAGATGTCTGGGTATCCTCTGATTAAATAATGTGCGTGGCTTTCATCCAAACAGATTTTTAAAAGTGCATGCTTTTGAGTAGTAGAGATGGACTAGCGAATATTTGGGCTTTGCCTATAGCTTTTGTGAGCAAAGAGTTCCAGTGTCTTGTCTTGAGGAGTTGTTCTGATTCTTTCATAGGAAACAACAACAAAAATCTATCAACATGTCTATTTGTATTTTCTGTGTGGTATTTCTTTGTGAGAAATATAAAGAGCCCTCCGTTAAACCTAAATAACCAAAGAAAAACCTCTCCCCGCCATGCCCTCCTGAAGGACCTGTGCCATATGTGCAGTAGCTGTAGATGCCATTGAGATCCTCTGACTCCTAGACAGGCTGCAGAATGGCAGGCTGTGGGTTTGACCTAGATGTGATAATGTGGTGGTATCAACCTTGCTGGTGTGCTCTGGCCTGACTTTTGGAAGACAGGGAGGAGCTGTGACATAGAAGCATGCAGATTGCATGACACACCATGATATACCAAGACAACATAATGGGTCTCTCAAGTGTATGAATATGATTACACATGCTTGGAAGGCCTATATGGTAGGTGTGGATATAATGCGTTTCAGCAAGCCAGTGCTCCACTCTGAAGCATTCTGAAGAATAGCAGGTAGTTTCTAGAAGAGCCTTCATGTGCTATAGGAAGCACTGACAACTCTATAGCTCCATCCACCAGTCCATTAAAATAGTCACACACTTCAAAATGAGCAATTTATGGAAACGTAGTTTATATCCAAAAGCTTATGCTGCATTACCCTTTGATGGAGAGCATCTTTGTGTTATTAATTAATATCCTGAGGGAGATTTTTCCTGTCCAGTCTTTACTTTGATTCTAACATAGAAACTGAAGATCATAAAATGCTCTTGGGTCATCTAACTTTATTGCAGAACCTTCTATTTCTTCTAAAATGTGAACCACAAAACAACTACCACATGAGTAATATGTGGTTGTAGTGCCAAATACTTAATTCACTGTTTATAAAATGTGATGCCAGAAAATGTTTCATTAAAAGTTTATTTTTGTTGAACAAGAAATCCTAAAGACAAAACAACTGTGAATCAGAACGGGAAATCATGAGGCAGACAGCCCTGGAAAAACTACGTACAGAAGGGACTGCATTCAAAGCAAAGATAAATACTATTACTAGACCAAAGACTTCCAGTGATGCTATTTCAGCAATAATATAGGAGCATGTTATTGGAGTAAAGTAAGTCTCAGGATCCTAGATTTTGCTCCTAGTTCAATTTATCAGGTATTCTTAGGGGAAGCACTTCAGTTTTATGGTATTAGTTGCTCCCTACATACGACAACAGTAATGATATTATCCCCTTTATTTTTATTAACCTTTCCATTTCATGGTGTAAAATAAATGGGGGAAAAAAGTATAGAAAATAGAGCAGTGTTAAGAGATCACTTAGTTCAATTTCTTTCTCTGAGTAAAGATTAAATAGACCTATATGTTTTCTGATTACACAGCCCTAAAGGAGGCATCTTTCCTATGAAAGCAAATACAAGTGTTTACTTGTGCCAACCATAAGAAAGTTTTCTTAAACTTTAATCTGATTTTATTGTAAGTATTGCTTTGTCAAACAACAATGAAAAATGGATTGTAGTTTCATCCCTCAAAACACATTTATATACATTTAAGATGTATCTTCCTCTGTCATGTTTTCTTGAACACAAAAGTCTTTCAGATGTTTTCTGCACTCATGGTCTCCCATGGAATCTTTACATACAAAAAGCTTCTCTGAAATATGCTGAACTATAACTCATCTGAACTTATTGATATTGGCATGTATTCCATGCCCTGACTTGAATCAGTAATGGAAACATGGAAGAGTGCCAGATGCAAGATGGATCCAATGAAACCCTCTTTAATTAATTATGCTCTTATTATACAGGGTAATGCTGAATGACTGTAACTCTCCAAATGCAGCTATTCTACCAATTTGTTTATCTGCCCTAGTACCATTCTAGCTAGGTCTTGTTCTGTCAGCTTCCTTATTGTTACTATCACAAGATATATTCCCAAAAGCACTAGTAGTGTAATTTTGACACCTTCCTGTTGCAGAGGAAATTAGATGGCCTGACATTATTTGTTCTTAAATCCATATAGTTTAATATTTTGTTTTATAATATTCTAGGTGCTTACATACAATTGGTTTGATTACTAGTTCTGGATTTTTTTTCAGGAATTGAAGATAAGCTTCTGAGCTACCAGTTTATTTAAACTTGACATTGAAAGAGAGCTTGCATGTTACAGAGAAAGGAAATAAGAAGAGGAATATTTAGCTACAAAGTAGAAAGGAATGACAATTCATACATCAACATACACATTCCTCCACACAACCTCAAATGTATTTTATCACTGCATTCATTTATTTACTTTTATTTAATTACAGTACTTACATGTGAGTGACTTTACTCAAGCTGTTGAAGGAATGGGCCTCCAGACTCTGAAGTGTTTCATCTATGGAGATGTAACTAAAAACCAGCAAACAGAAAAAGAAACAAGTCACAGACCTTGGCAAACCATGGCCAGTGCCCAGCAAGACAGTTTTTCTCTTCATCCTGTGCCACCTGCCAAGGGAAGCAGCACTGATGTTGTCAGGCAGAAGAACTTTTAACGTTTATATTTGCTGTATTACCACTAAATCGCAACTGCATAACAATGCTACTAAGCAGCAAATAGAAAGATTTCACATTTCAGAATTCTTTTTCTTTCCTTTTCCCAATGAAGATCACTATGGTGTTCGTCAAGAAGACTTAGCTGTCAGGTAAATTGGCAGATTTACGTATATCCAAGAAAAAAAAAAAAAGGAAAGACACAAAGTTGGATTTTGGGTTATCACTGCAACAACTGTCACAAATTCTTTGTCATAGAGCAAATAATACTTTGCTGTTGTTGAGGGGAAAAAAAAAATGCTGTGATATGAATTTGGAAAAAATCTTTAGCCACAAAGAGAATGTCATAAAGAGAATAAAGAGCAAACTGGCACCAAAGCAAAGCAAAACAACAAGAAAAAAATACCCCAAGCTTAAGAAATACATATGGTTAAACTGAGTAGCACTTACACTGAATATGAGAAACTAGCCCTACTGAGTCTCCCCACTACCACTAGGAAGGTAATAGTGAAATTAGTCTGTTAAAAGTTTTGAAGTGTGAGTAAAGTTGCAATACAACTAGCAAATTCAAATTTTCAAAGTCACACAGACCTTAATTATTTGGGTAACATCACCTAATTATGTCATTCAAAATATCTCTTAGTTTGAAAATTGATCAGTCCTGGAATAACATTTAAATGCTGTATTCCTGTGCTTGGTTTACTTTTTCTAATTATATTAAATATATTTCTAATTTATAGATCTTTAAAATTAATAAATAATTAAAATATTGATAGTATTATCAGTACTAATAGTAAATATGAAATACAAATGCAATCTTTTAAATCAGAAGGACTTTGTCATGCAAGAAATTACAGATCAGATTCTTTTTTGTTGTTGTTGTTGTGGAAATGATACAGAAATTAAATTTCAACTTCTTTCTGTGGATATTTTGAAAATAACTAAAATGTTTTAAAAAAATTGGAAACAATACTTTGTAATCAGTTTGTGCTCTGACAACCAGAAGATTACTAATACCATTAATTGTTCCAATGGAATTTATGTCTACTCTGGAGCAAGGCAAAACTAATTTCTACTTTTCTAAGAGGAGATCTACTTTTTATGGGTAATTGAAAATGTATTGTGCAGTATTTGAAAAGATATCAGAAAAGTAACTGGTAAAGATTGTGCAACCAGCAGATTCTCTTTTCTCAGTAATATTATTTCCAAAAAGCCATTTGGTTCTTCCAAAATGAAGGAAGAAAATAAAAGAAGAATATAATAAAGAAAGTATTTCCAGGCTGTAGCTCTGTGATTGAATATTGCAGAATTAGATGCTTACTTGAGATGCTTTAATTTTATCCTTTTAGAAGCACTGAATATCTACTACTCAAGAAACTGTATTTCCACTTTTCGCGGAAAAATGAATTATTTGATTTTAGCAGAGCCTACATTTTAACATACCAAAAGATAAGTAGTGTGTAGCAAACAGCTATATATAAACTAGCTTGACATAAATTCAAATGAAAACTAGAGAACAAGCAAACAAAATCCTCATGCCAAGCAGCTGGTTCTGGAAATTAGAAAGCACTATTTTTGTGTGCCCTGTAGTACTGATGGCAGTACCAGGCAGGCAGGATGACACCTATCTGTCATGTATGAGAGGAGACAGAAGAGAAGCAGGGGCTGTTGTTCCTCTCTTCCTTAATCCCTCCAGCCACCATATCCCACCTGTCCACATGTCCCATTTGTACTGTGTTGGCTGGCTTGGAGCTGCCTGTGTTACAGTTTTATATCTCAAACCTGCAGGGTGAAGGTAGGAAGGAAATGACATATTTTCTTGGCATGTTGACCTCTGCTTTTCTGCTTTTCAATTGTTTACATTAATTAGATGACATCATCACTCATTATATAAGTAGTCACTAGGAGCAGTGCTCGGCAAACGTGCACAAACATTCATTCTCTTCTGAGAAAGAGGTGTTAATGGTGCTTAAATATTTACTTGCAACTGTTCAGAGTCCTTCTGCACTTGGTTGATGAACACATCATAAAACACATTTGAATATAAAAAATAAATATCACAGCAGTCATAATCAGAAGATGTTACACTGGGAAGAGACGGTAAGAACGTTTAAATTCCCATTTTGAAGGCATAACTCAGCAGTGCCTCCCTGTGCCAGCTGTGTTTCACTTGCACGTTTCCAGAATGCCTCTGATATCCACCATGAATTTAGTGCCAACCTAAACACCAAATTCACAACTTCTCTTTTTGAGAAGGTCTTTTTGCAGATAAACAGCCTTTTATCACCATTGCCCATTCCAAAAAACCTGAGAATTCAGGACTTCAGACAACATGTGGCAGTAAAAACAATGACCTCTCACTGTTCTTCATTCTCCCTTTCTCCACCTTTCTTTGCTTTTTCTAGCTTCAACACCCCCTGTCCTGTGCTGCACAGAATCAGTTTGCGCAGGATGTGAAAACACACTATGTTGCATAGAGAGATACAGAGCACAAGGGAAATGTTATGCTCTGCATAGGGCTGCTACCTTGTATGGAGAAGCTGTGGAGAAAACTGCTCGGGAAGGTACACATCAGGTGTCCATGAGGTACTCACAGATATTACACAAAGCATCAACAGTATCCTTTTCAGCTCCTCAGAGCTCAGGAAAAATTCTCTATCTTAGACCTTAAAAGTACTGTATGTTCAACCTGTTTGAAGTCAGAAGGGACAAGTATTTCTACCAAGTATTTCTACCAAGATTTTTCAACTTTAATAAATTTCTATTACATCTGAATAACTTACAAAATATTTTTTTTAATGTTGTTATTGCCAGAAGGGAGCATATGCACCTGAGTGCACTGATGCATTTCTGATAGGAATTAGCTTTACACTTGAGCATTTCACTGAAATGCTTTCTGTTTCATTCCTGTGGCAAAGTAGCAAAGGGAAACAAATCCCTACTTCTGACTATCAAGAATACACAGATACGCATGAACTTAAGAACAATCTAACCCTAAAATTCTTGCTTAAACAAGGTTCATAAAGAGGCTAATCTCGTTTCTATTCAGTATAGAGGGTGAAAAAAGGGTTTATTCATGCAAACTATAAGTAGAAATCACATAGCAAAAGAAAGAAGTATATTTGGAGTAGTAAATACAGTCTCTATTATCTTCTTGAAACTTCAGAACACCAGGCTGGATAAAGACATGAGCAACTTGGTTTGACTTCATATTTGGCAGAACTTTGAGCAGGTGGTTGGACTAGAGGCTTCCTGAGGTCCCTTCCAAATTACTGTGTGTTTCTAGGGAGTGAACTGGGAGATATCAGAGAAGTTCCCTGCATCAATTAGCCACTGTGGGATTACAGGCAAGCCACAAAGAGAAACTAAAAAACTTGGTACACCTTTGTTTCAGAACTGCTCATGTCAACAACCAGGGCACACTGAGAGCAGGTGGCCACTTGCAAGTAAAGTGAACATGAGGTAAGTATATAGATGCTGCTGCCTCCACATTTATGGTTTGTATTCATGTATGTGTTTTATATACAAAAGACATGAAACAACAGAAGTCCCTCTTGCACCACACAAGTATTATTATTTTTGTGGAAAACCATTCGTATTTTAGAAAAGCTACAGGGTCTCCAGTGAAATGAATTATAAATCATGCAAGAAAAAAAAGAAACAACAACAACAACAAAAAAGTAATTAGTCTGAACCAGTAATATACTATGTCATTTGAACTAAAAAAAAACAACAAAACCTAGTATGCCTTGCTACAGATTGTTTAGTTTTGAACAATTGGATGGTAACTCACAGATCTAAATTTTTGATAAAGTGGTAAAAGAATATCAGAAATAGAACTTACATTCTAGAGATATTGGGGAGATTGGAAAATGCTTCACTTGGAATTGTTCTTAGATGAGTCTCCATAAACCTCCTACAGAAATAAAAGTTTGCAAGTTAATATTCTCTGTGAAGTACAATTTAACATTGAATAGTCATATATAACTCCAGCTCTGCTCCAGTAATTCTGTTCTTATCTTCACTTTTCCCAGCTTTTCCATCCTCACATTATTCCTACTCCTGTTTCATTATGCATCTTGGTTTGCTCAGTGTGCTCACCAGCCAAAATTCAAGTAAAGAGTTATTGCATATTATCTCCATAAAATTCCTTGTATGCTTTGTAGTAAATACACCATTTTTTCATAAACATCTGATATGTGGATGGTAGGTATGCTGTTATTTCTTAAGTCCAGATAAGGCTGCACTTCAGGAGATAATAGAAAGACATATCTTACTCATCTGCAGAAGGTTTCAGAAAAACAGGTAATATTTAGAGAAGACATATATCAATAGTCAAGTTTTTAACAGAATGAATACCCAACAGACTGACTATTCCAATAAAGAGGAGGAAATGCTTTAGAAAATTAGCCTATAATATCTTTAGACTTACAGTTACAAATGATCATTGCTGAATGAGGTCATTTTTTGTTTTCCAGTACATCTGGGAATATAGTTACATATTATATAATATATATAATATAATATAGTCAACTAACAGTCTGAAGAGTAACCAAGAAAAAAATATAGTCATTTCTCATAGATTCTCCTAAGAACAACTTTGTATGAAATAAATGAGCAAACATTAGTAATGTTTTCTGTTTTCTTCTCATATATGTAACGTGTTCATATATACATGTTACATGCATAAGCAAAGAGAACCTAAAGGTTGTTTATCCAAAATGGATTGATGTTTCTCCTAAATTTAGTACCTCAGTTTTCTTTTCCCTCCTCCACTTTGTAAAACTGGTTCCTCTTAGGATTACAATCCTGGGCAAAATGTTTGCAAAGAATAACCAGCTACAGCATGCTGACCTTGCTGTTGTGTTTCAACATCTGTCTGTACTTACAGTCCTTTCAGGAAATAAAAAATGATGACTGAGAAATTTCTGTTTCAGATAGATTTTAAGAAGTATTAAAGTAGAACAGTGTGGACAGATCTTGGTAGGCTGGAGAAATGAGCTGACAGAAACCTCACAAATGTCAACAAGGTGAAGCATAAAGTCCTGCCCCTGGAGGGGAAAAACTCAGGCACCAGTATGTGCTGGGCCTACCCAGCTTGAGAGCAATGCTGGAGAACAAGATCTAGGACTCCTGGTAAACACCGAGTTGAGCATGAGCCAGCAGCATGCTCCATAAATAGTGCTAACAGTATCATGGTCTGCACTGGGAGGCTGTCCTAAGACTTCTCCTGAAGACTGCTAGAACCCAGAAGCTAAGAAAAACATAGGTTAAGCAATTTGCAACTATCTAGGCTTGCTTTTAACCCGTCTTATATCCCTCTGGTCCTGTTCATCTAGGAGATGTTGGCTCACAACTTCATATTTACCTCTCACACCAATCATCACAGAGATTAGTACTTAACCTGCAATCCCATACCCCAGAAAAGAATTTAAACTCTACTGTAAGTCTCGTCTCAATCTCTCGCTTTTAAGTCAAACATTCAAACTCCATCTTTGCCTCATGGTGAAGTGAGCTACATAAGGGCTAAGTGAGTTCACATTAATCTTTTATTCACATGCCTGGAATTTACACCCTGTCAGAAAAGAATGGAAATCCTGGATAACATATGTGAATCCATTGCTATTAAAGTTGCTGTAGTATGAAATAGCCCTACACTTATGACTTCCTAGATAAGGCTTCTGTTATCTCAAAAATAGCACAATGAAGTAACTTAGCCGTGTATTTTAACTAAACAGCTCATAAATTTATTTATAGGTTGGAACGGGGAATATCATGTATCTTCATAGCTATTTGCTAGAGATTAAAAATATACCAATTCAGCAAATATGACTAGAAACCATGGGTGGCACAAGATGTGTGAAGTGTAAAGAAAACTAAGTATTAAGAGAAAGAAATCTTCGGCTGATGAAGATCGAAAATAGCACACTTCATGACAACAACTTGGTTGTGAAGTGAAATAGTTTCAGAGAACGTCAACAAATCTAAAACAGAACTAGTTATGGAACATACCTACTACACAAATGATTTGCTAAATAATAGCAGATAGAGCACATAGTGTCCAAGTAATTGGTGTTACCTAACTGCAATTCCTCACCTACTTGCAGAGCTAACAGATAGCAAGCAGTTCATGGTCAGTGCTTATGCAAACCGTGAAATGGAGTCAGTGCAATGGCTCTAGAATTAGGTGCAAATTTTTAAGCCAGCCTTTGTGTACAGCCATCTGCAAAGCCGCAGTTCTTGCTGAAGTACCTGTGCTCTGATACATTAAAGCAAATTCTAACCCACCTTCTAAAGCAGTTTAAAAATTTGCAGAAAAACAGTCCCTGTTTCCTAGCTTTGAATCTGTGGGTAATTGCTGGAGCAGTAATACTAACTAGTGATATGTAGAAAGCTATGAGATGGGTAGTTATTCCAAAACTGAAAAGAAGAGAGGCTGAGAAAACTCTCAACCAGAGCAGTCTGTGTTGGATCAGAAATGACAGTAATTATACATAATAGCTTCAGTTTAGTTTCTAGCCCAGTCTGACTACATAAAATGATGATCACAAGCTTACCCAGCTGTGCTAGTATGATCCTCAAGGTGGAATGACCAGACAGTTTGGAATTTAAAGCCCAGAGCTAGAAAAGGAAGGCAGGTCAGGGCTTCCAGCTCCCCAGCCTTCCAACTTATGACGCCAGCTCCAGTCGTAACATACAGTGTGAGCAGGTGATAAATAATTGAGAATTCATTATGTGAATTGCCTATAATTCTTCCTGTCTTGCATGCATTAGAAATTTTCTTTGAATATGCATATTTTAATTTGCAGTTTAGCAAGTGAGTCCAGTATCTGCAGAGTCTTCACTAAGTAAGCTTTTTTTTTTTTTTTTTTTTTTTTTTTTTAAGAATAAATAAGAAAACTTCAGCAGGAAAATACACATTACTTTTCCATGTGAGAAAAACAGTAAAAGTAATAAGTTACATATTTAATAGCTCATTTAATATCCTTTCTCTATTAAGGAAAAGATGACACACTAACTTGAGAACTTCCATTTATTTCTACTTTTATTTTCTCATTCAGATTGAAAGCTTCAGTAAATAATAAATCTGGAAAAAGGCTTCACTTTACATTCCATAAAATCTTTCAAAAAGAAGAATCAAAAGTCTGAGGTCATTTTCATTACAAATATGCTCTCAAGATTTGAAAAGTTGCAGAAGCAAACAAATCATGTTTTTACTACATGAGTTGTTTTTAAAATAGCAATAAAATATTTCAGTAAAACATTTTAAGCTTTATATGATGGCATTTAATTTGCATTTTTCACTGTACAGGTCTCTGATTTCTATTCTAATTGAAGTGTTAAAATTTTTTTTCTCCTTTTATATTTGCAGCTAAGTTTATTCTGAATGTCCCTGAAAGTCTTCGCATCACATCTATTAAGAAAATGAAACCTGAACAAAACTCATAAGAAAGACATTAGGCTACTTCTATCCAACTAATGACTGAAACAACTCCCTCTCTGATTCCTTTGAGGTCCCAAAACAATCTTCAGGAAAAGCCTAGTTACTCCTCATTGCGAAAAACAAAACAAACAAACAAAAAAAACCAAACCAATTTCATTTTATATTTGTTGTTGTTGTTTGTTTATTTTCTTGTTGTTTTGGTTTGTAAAGTATATAGACTTTAAAATATTTTGTACCTGCACAAGAACAACCCTGCTTCTGACTACTAGGAATGCAAGTTCAAGGACTGTGAAGAACTCAGACTTAATGCAAATCTGCTTAATTTTAACGATTCATTTTTAACACTTCATATTTGCTTCATTCTAACAATTTTAACTATGCATTTTAACGACATTTCTTTTTATTATTCTGAAATAAGTGAATAGTAGTCTTCCAGTGGAGCAAAAACGATGAAAAGGCAAGTCACAACGTGAAATGCACTTATCTGACCAGAAGATGATTACCACCTAGTGTCTAACCCTAGTATTACATACGACGCGGTAGAACTGTCAAAAAGACTCGAAGCAAAGTAATGCTAAAGAGGAAACCACTCAGGAATTCGGTAGAGGACTTAATAGCTGCTTTCCCACAGTTAAGCAGAAGTCCAAAGGAATGTCGTAAACTGTATGTCAAAACTGAACAACCCTAAAAAAATTGAAGAAATGCCAGAGCAGAAATGTTCTGGTCAGAGTTTGGTTAGCATTCTGTGTGAAAAATAAGTTCTTATAACTTACATACCCTCTTCCTATACACTAAGATGCATAGGGGTGCTGTCAGAGATACAAGAATTGGTTTCTTGTTCCTTTCTTACTAATATTTAGCAAGCAGAAAATACCAGTCAATAATTACTGAACTTGTTCTTGCTCGGTTTGTGATCACTGATTGTTTCTTGCTGGATGTAAGTAAAAAATGAAGACTTCACAAGAAGTACTGACTCTCCTAAATATTACTTGCTGCTTGCCAGTAAACAAAATGAAATTCAGTAGATTTCAGAACTGTCAGCGTTGAAAAAATAATGTGATATAAATGTCTACAAGACAGAGGTTGAGTTCCAGTTGAGATACTGAAACTATCCAAAAAAGTGGTAAGGAAGAAGTGTTTGGCTTTATGTATAGACACTAAGACTGTCAATCAGCTGTACTCATTTTTAAGATGTTTTAAGTCTTTTCACCTTATTCAAAGCAAAGTTGAACAAACAGTAACTTGGAAATGCAATGTGTCAGTATGGAAAACATTAAGATAAAAAAACCTTCACACTTCTAAAAAATAATCTAAGCACTTGTTTTGCAGAGGAAGTTTGTTCCAAGCCTACAAACATATTCATAAAATGAGTTCTGATCAAAACTGGGAGTCAACTTTGAAATTATCAGCTTATTTCAGTTTATGATGTCATGTAATATTACTCAAAGGAAATTGTCAATGAACTCCATGGT